GTGACATTTGGATTCAAACCCTAAATATCTACCTCACATGCTCCAAGGTTTTATTTCAACTTAATCCTCTTTTTAGCTTAACAACCTTGATCCACCCATTCATTTCCACTTATCACCTTTTTCAGGTTCAGGCCACTCATTGCTTCAGGTAACTCCCTCATACCACATTCAAACCTCTCAGATCAGAACATCAGAGCTATATTGTCAATATAAATTGAATATATATATTTCTGTATAAATATTCAGACATCTTCCAGCCCCCCAATAGCGATTCTACCCCTCATTTCTCTTTCTGTATTCCACAGACTCCGATACTTGTATTTGTATTTGTATGTTTGTATTCCACATTGTAAAATATGAATACAGGTAGAGGTGATCAGTTCATTCTCTTAATGTGGATAATTTAGTTTTCTAAGAAACTCACTTGTTTTATAATTTAACCATTTTGAACTACTAGAGCATATAGAAACTGGTATCTTAATATCATAATAATAAAACATTACTACAGCTTTCTAGTTTACTGGCAACATGAACATTAAATGTGCTTATGAGCATTTTAAGAAATTCTGAAGTTATATTCTGCAAGAAAACTCTAGGAATTCTGCCAAATATTCCATGATTTGGCTGATAGTCAAGAAGAGCTTTACAGGGCACAATTTTATTACTCCATTCTGCATGACATTGATTTGCCTTTGAACCCAACTAAAGTCCATTAGTCCATAACTCAAGTTAATGGGTATATAGATAGGAAATTTCCTTACCTCAGCAGTATTTCTCTCAATATTTTTTATTTATTAAATTTATCTGATGCTCAAAATCAATCAATTTCTAGGAGCACTTCAGAGAGTAGTAAATGATGATATTGAAATGTGTATATCACTGAAAACTCAGTATGAAATAGAGTTTCAGGGAAATTTTTCATGTAATATAGGCCACACAATTTTTTTATCTTGCTTATCTGGATTTCTGTAAAGTTTAATTACCTAGGATAATACTTTGTCCCAAAATTAGATAATTTAAAAATGTAATGATGATAGGGGCCAGCCCGGTGGCGCACTGCTGCAGTGCGCCGCTTGGGAGTGCGGCGGCGCTCCCGCCGAGGGTTCGGATCCCACATACAGACCGGTTCCCGCTCACTGGCTGAGCGAGAACACCGAGGGTTGCAATCCCGTTGCCGGTCCTGGTCCAGTACAGGCGCGACACTGAGGGTTGCGATCTGTTGCCGGACACGAAAAAAGACAAAAAAAAAAAAAAATGTAATGATGATAAATAAATGTTAGACCAGTAAGTGACTGAATGCCTTAGATCAACACTTCATATGCACCTATAGTCAGTTATAATTTTGATTGTTTTATGATGCAAATACTTTTCAATGCACTACCTGGGAGCAGCGTATTTAACAAAAAGAAAATTAATCCTAGATAGTTGAACAATGCTAATAATAATTCAGAGCTTTAAAACAGCTCCTCTCCCTAAAAGATCCACCTGTAAAGTCAAACCACCAATTATAGCATTGGTTCTGAGAACAAACTGAATTACATCAGAAGACAATCACAGCTGATATCCCGAGGAATTGTGAAGGAGTCCAACTACAGCCAAAGTATCAACCTCTAGATAATGTGACAAAGGTCAGAGTGCTCTAAATTGCATTTTCTTCTATAGAGCACACTACAATGTACTTAAGCTAACAAAAGAAGATGAAGGGATAAGAGGAGGAGAAGACTTTTTTTTTTTTTTTTTTTTTTTTTTTTTTTTTTTTTTTTTAAATNCCAGCACCATTTGCTGAAAAAGCTGTCTGTACAAAAGACAGTGCTTTGTGTGTGTGTGTGTATTTTGTTTGTTTTGTTTTTTTCTGGAAAAAAAAAAGCTAGTCTTTGCCATGCAGTATTTCTTCCTCATGTGAGTTCTCTGATGTCTGCTTAGACGTGACTTCTGACAAAAGATGTTCTACATTCATTACAATCCGCCTTCCATATCCACAAGATCCACATTCATGGGTTCAACGAACTATAGATCAAAAATATTTGAAAAAAAGAAAGTATGGCTTAAACTTATATTGTTTTTAATGTATTCAGTAATAAGTAATCTAGACATGATGTGAAATTGTGCAGCAGGATGTTACATAATAGCTCACCACTTCATAGAAGACCTGAGCATCCACGGATTTTGGTATCTATGGAAAGTTTTGAAACCAATCCCCTGTGGATATGAATAGACAGCTGTACATTCATAGGTTTCCTCTTTTATGTGAGTTCTCTGGTACAGCCTGAAGTGTGCTCATGACTAGTAAGTCTTGATTTCTTGTAGAAAGATTTTGTACGTTCATTACATTCATATGGTTTCACAACTGTGTGAGTTCTTTGATGTACACTGAGGTCTGCTTTACTGTAGAAAGGTTTCCTATATTGTTTACATTCATCTGGATTCTCACATGTGTAAATTCTCCAATGCTTGCTGAGGTTTGACTTCTGGTGAAAAGTTTTTCTACATTCATTACAAACATAGGGCTTCTCATCTGTGTGAATCTCTGATGCATGCTGAAGATTGACTTACGTTTGAAGTTTATTCACAGTCATTGTATTCATGGGGCCTTTTCTATGTGTGACTTTTCTTATGGTTATTGAGATTCAAGTTATGGTAGAAAGATTTTGTACATTCTTTATATTCATATGGTGTCTCACCTGTGTGAGTACTGTGATGTACATTGAAGTCTGATTTACTTTAGAAAATTTTTGAACATTCTTTTCATTCATATGGTTTTTTACCTGTGTGAATTCTCTGATGTCTGGTGAGGACTGACTTTCTGTGAAAGGTTTTCCCACATTGACTACATTCATATGGTTTCTCACCTGTTTGAGTTCTCTGATGCTTGCGGAGATCTGACTTCTCAGGAAAGGTTTTTCCACATTCACTATATTTATATGGTTTCTCACCTGTGTGAATTCTCTGATGCCTGCTGAGGTGTGACTTTCTGTGAAAGGTTTATCCACATGCACTACATTCATATGGTTTCTCACCTGTGTGAATTATCTGATGTCCACTGAGGAGTGACTTCCTGTGAAAGGTTTTCCCACATTCACTACATTCATATGGTTTCTCACCTGTGTGAATTCTCTGATGCCTGCTGAGTTTTGATTTAGAGTAGAAAGTTTTTCCACATTCTTTACATTCATATGGTCTCTCACCTGTGTGAGTTCTCTGATGTTCACTGAGGTGTGATTTATGGTAGAAAGTTTTTCTACAATCTTTACATTCATA